ATGTGTGTGTGTGTGTGTGTGTGTGTGTGTGTTATGGAGGGAGTGGGGATGTTTGCATGTACATGTATTAGTGTGCTTTCATGATTAAGGTATGGGCTGGGTGTGGGACGATAACTGTTTTCTTTTTTTGTTTTGTTTTAAAAGTGTGTGGTTTGGGGGTGGGGGTGGTAACGGGGTCAGGCAATTTGAAGTAGGCATGTGGGAAACAGACTATTCAGTATAATAGAACGCCAATATTCCAAGCTTTGCAATGGGTATACGATCTTAATTACATTTCTTGCTCTGGAATTGAAAACTAATCTTTACTAAACTTGCCATTTAAGGGTTTTGTGTTTCAATCCACCCACCGGGCACAACATCTCATGGATTTAATGTGAGTCACCGTGTCATGTTATGCGAAAAGACGCTTTTAACTTATACTCAGCATGGGAAACAAGGAAAAAAGGGGTGGGGGAAGGGGAAGGATTGAAGTTTATTTGTAACAAAACTTCGTACTTAAAAAAAAAAGAACAAGAGAGGCAAAGTTGGAATTTCAAAATAAATAAAGAAACAAATTATAGTTAAAAAGGAATGAAAAAACAAAAACAAAAACAAAACAAACAACCCCACAGTTGTACCGATGGCAAAGGTATCTCTCGAGGTTTGATGTGGCTTGAAGACACTCACGAAGTTCTCAAAGAAGAAGGCCATGTGGACGATCGTAGAAGGAATACCTGGAAGGATGATTTTGGGTTTGTTTGGGTGAAGCTAAACAGATAGACAAGATAACAGTCATTTACATATTTATTTTTTGTTTCAGTTAGATCTTTACAGCCATTGCAACATAGTTATGACATAAAAGTGCCGAAAAAGAGAGCTATTGCTAGAGAATAACATTCAGTAACAAAAACCCAAAAAAGGAGGGGAGAAAAAGATGATCGATATCTATAAGAAAAGAAGCAGAAACCACACCGGATCACAAACCAAACACGCTAGGTTATTTAGTTCAGGGAAAAGTAGGACAGACAGACAGACAGACAAACAGATAGAAACAATAGAGGGAATTAAAAATAAAAGAAGTAGGACCCACCATTGACTCCCTTCAATCTCCGACCAGGAGAGAAACAAATGTGTCACGACACGGTAGAATCATGCGCTCGACAATTTTTGAGAATCTGGAGTATCCTCTTAAATTAAAACTTGTTTATTTGACCACTTTTGATGAATAAAATCCCCGATATTTGCGATCGAAAGGGGTTGGGTTCACCTGGTTTCAGAGATAAAATTAAAGAAAAACAGACTTACCGCTACCCCTTCCACTAACCCATATAAAGTTACTCTTCGTATTTCATTACTCTTGTTGCCGAAATGGAGATTTTGCATAGAACTTTGTAATTCTGAGCTCATCATGTTTTGTTGAAAATAACTTAAAATCTCCAGTTACAACTCAATTTGCTACTCCAAAATTTTCAACTTCGATTTTTTTAAAAACTAGGTACTGTGCAGCTAAAACTTTGTTATTCTGGGGTAGCGATTCGTTGTGCCTTTAATCAATGTTTTCCTCCTAAAATCGACACCGAAATAACGCCAGCAGCAATACCACTACCACCACCATTACAACCAGCACCACCAC